TTTGGGGCTAGAAAGGTGCTTTGATTGGTAAGTTGGGGCTAGATAGGCGTTTTGACTGGAAAAAGTGTAGCTAGAAAGATATCTTGACTGAGGTGTAAATAGAAAGGCGTTTTAATCGACGAAGTGTGGCTGGAAAGGTGACTAACAAGGTGTTGCTCTTCCATGTTGATCTCACGATCTTCCGTCTGTACGCATGAGAGCGTGGTGAGCGGCCTGGCAAGGGTAACCAGGGCGTTGGCCGACAGGGATGGTAGCGCAGGTTGAATGACAGCTAGTTCCCACCTGCTTGTTCTCTCCCCCTCTGTACCTCCACAGCGGAGTGGCGTGCACCGCGTACCCGCGATCACCCAACCATTAAAGCAGAACTGGAGAAGTGTGTGTGTGTGGCAGGGTGCAGTAATATGGGCCAAGCCGCCACCTTCTGCTGCAAAACTCTCCAGTTAGAACGACGAGCAGAGATGTGGGGGTAGAAATAGCCTAGTTACTCTATTTTCTTTCTTGTCTCAATAAACATACTTGAACTTGAACTGAGGTGTGCTCGGCGGTGCCTTGAAGGCCTTACCCCGGGACGTGGGCAAAATTGGGCAAAACGCATATATAAACATTGATTCAACATTGATGCAATTACGGGGCTATTCATGTCCATGCCACTTCTTGGGTGACTTAATCTTTATCAATCAATCATTGATGCAACATAAGGATGGGGAGGGGCCCCCCCCTTCCCCATGAAGCTTTAAATTTAATATAGTAAGATGGTCTTAATCTAAATCAAACGGGTAACTTGACATTTGTATTGTAAACCAATGAGGAGAAGTTGATGTATTCCCAAGTTCGGTGAAGTGTACATTTGTGCGCTGTCGATAGCTGAAGTTTACAAACATGCGGCCACCACAGGAGAAACTAACACTCATATTTCTGTGTTATGTGGAACTTGGCGCTCGACGTGTTATGTTCCAGTGGCAGTTTGTACGGTAAACTACCGCTCATATGATGAGTATGAGGTGCACGATAAATTACCACCCACAGAATGAGTATTGTGTTCATCACTCTAATAAATAGCCTAAGCTACTCTATCCCTTTGAGATGTATTTTTTTGTCACAATAAACATACTTGAACTCTAATAATAAACTCTGTAAGCAAGAGATGGGACTTACTCAAGTAAGACTCAACACTATTAGTAAAACAATCAGTAATCAAGGATTTTACATCAATTAGGATGAGATACTTTGAGCCTCGTAGCAATTTTCTTCATCCACGGATATTACAAAATATATCCTCAAACTATTGACACACAGGTTATTATTTTATGTTATTGTTATGAATAATAACAGCATATTATGATGTTTAAACACCATTCATAAATTTAAGGTATTTATTATATAAACACCATAAAACTTGTGGTGTTTGCAGAGCGAACATACGAGTTTATACAAATATTATTATCATCGTTTTCACTTTTGACTTTTGTTTTGTGTGGTACGAGTTCATTGTTCTGCAAGATCAAACAACAATGTAATTAAATGCACATTAACCTACAAGTGTAGATAAATGTACATTAACTTGCAATTCAATTTCTTTATTATGCACCCCATACCCATCCCGTGGGCGGTGGTGTAAAGGATTACAGACACATAATCGGTTCAGGAACTGAACCCTCTAGTTCGCTTAGCTAAGCAAATAACAATCTTTTGACGCTAGTTACAAAATTATTAATGTTATATATATATGTACACACACTCATGAATACATGTACATATACATATACATACATATTTATTCACCCACACAAATACACACATCAATAATCTTTTGTGTCAGAAGTGATTCAACAAGAGGCTCACAACAGTCACTATACAAGGCACTTTACATCTATGATGAGTTGCACAGTTACTAGTCTAGTTCCACACCCACCCAACTGGGCGGCAGCTTTAGTCATGTGCATGCATTACAGTAAGCAAATTTTGGATACTTCGCTAAGATTTCGGGCAGCACATCATTATGAGTGAAGTACTTACACATTTCTTGGACACTATTGATGGTGTTATCTCTAAATTCCGCGATTTTTTTCACATTCCATTATATAATGACGCAAAGTATGCGAATAGTTCTGCTGGCAGAGTTTACACTTAGTCAAATCAACATCAGAAGATGTTACAAATTCCCAGAGGCACTTGTAGCCGAGCCTAAGCCTAGCAGTGGTAACATCTAGAAGTCTGCTAACATTATTGGATGACCCATAAACGTGCGGTACTTCCTGCATAATAGAATGATGATAGATAGATAGAACTGATGAGTTGGCCAAGACTTTTGCTCGTAAAGAGGGAATTGATTACCAACTTGGACTGCCTTTGAGCAGCCTGAGGGCAGTAATATTCCGGGAACATCAACTAAATTTCGGAGACTTGAGGCAAAGTGAAATTCACACTAGTTACTCCGTGGGCTGACACATTTGTCATCACGTGTTAACTTTCGTGATTTACACACACACACACACACACACACACACGTGTGTGTGTGTGTATTAATCATGAAAGTTAACACGTGATGAAAAATGTGTCAGACCACTGAGTAACTGGTGTGAATTTCACTTTGCCTCAAGTCAGATGAGCCTGTCGGTCGCCCAGACGGGATCACAGTGAACCCCTGGAAGAATGGTAGACAGATGGCGTGGGACTACACTTGCGTTTCAACCTTAGCCAACACCTATGTTAACTTCAGTGCTGCACAGGCCGGAGGTGCTGCCAATCACTGGGAAGCAGCCAAGTCACATAAATATGGAGACCTTGATCACCACTACAATTTTGTCCCCATTGCCTCAGAGACACTTGGTGCCTGGGGTAAAAGTGTTGCAAGTTTTTTGAAGGAACTGGGGTCCAAGCTAATTGAAACAACTAGAGACCCTAGAGCCGTCAGTTCTTTTTCAGCGCCTTAGTGTGGCGATCCAGAGAGGAAATACGAGCTGGAGGAGCTGTACAACTTGTGACAAATAGTCTTGTACCCTGCATGTAACTAATGTTGTAACCCTTTTTGTGTAATGAAATTTCAAATAAAGTTAGATATATATACACACATACACTAAAAGAATAGGGGTGGTAGGGGAAGAAAATATCAAAGTGTTCAGAGAAGATCCACAAGGTCTTCTCTCAGTACTCATTTTCTTCTCCGAGGCTATGGGCCCCTACACTTGCACCAGTGGTGGTACCCCTTTTAGGTTTGAATATATATATATATATATATATATATATATATATATATATATATATATATATATATAGTGACGGGAAAGTGTAGATGTGTAGATGTTCGGCAGTCCTCCAATGGCTGGTGTCAATGCCTAGTCACACTTACAAAAACAAGATATACTGCTTGGCTGTTTATCTGTGGTAAAGTAAGGGAAGACACGCAAAACACATACTATGAACAATGAAACTTTAATATAGAAAACAAATTAAAAACAAAGACAATCCCTTGGCTTACCTGGCTATGTACAGTGCAAACAAACAAGTCAAAAAAATATAACATAAGAATGAAGAATAGGGATGACGTTACTCTACAATAATATAAAGACAAAGTGAAAATAATCAGGTGCTGAGAATATAGCACTAGCTGAGAAACATCCACCTGATAGACAGCGTATATCAGTTAGTTGTTCACGGCTTGAGAGCACAAGGATATTCTGACTTCAATGGCTGGTTCAAGCCCAGACATCGACTTGTAGAGGGCGCTGAGGTGCTGAGGTGCAGGTGTGCAATCGGCGGGTCACCAATCAGAAGCAGGCAAGCTGGGAATGGTAGTTTTCTGGTTGATGACGGAGCCGGCATGGGGGGAGTGTGGAGTAGGGGAGAGTCTTAGGTACGTTTGCCTCCTGGTCAAAACGTTTTGTGCTTCTGGTAGACGTATCTTGAAGGTAGCATCTTATTGTTGTATAATATACGTAACTTTATGTAGAGAAGAGCAGGCTCAATCTCTCTTGAAAGAGATTATCATCACAATAAATATATATATATATATATATATATATATATATATATATATATCTTATGTTTCACTCGAAATATTTTAAATTTAATGGTTGTAAAATATAGCTTATATAATTCTGTCTTTATCGTGATATAAATGATTTACGTTTAATGACTAATGACGTATTTAGATCTTGCCCGAAACGCTATGCGTATTAGTGGCTTTAGGTATTGTATGTACTAGCTCTATCTACACATCCAACATTATGTTTGTAACTCTGCATCTATGTATGTACTTTTCCTGCCCGAAACGCTTTGCGTAATAGTGGCTTTAGGCATTGTATGTACTAGCTCTATCTATAAACCCAACATTATGTTTTGTATCTCACCTTGTATGTATGTACTTTACCTGAATAAATATTTGATTTGGATAAAATATTATTATTATTATTATTATAGTTTCAACAGTTGCCTTTGGGCGTCGTCGCTCCCAACTTGGAATTCCCTTACATGGGTCAACCCAACTGCTAGTTTGATCACACTCCAATATGGTGTTGAGTAGGCCTATTTAAAAAATACGTTGTATTATTTTTTCATGGATTAAGTGTAAATTAACTAGATGGTTGTTTTTAAAATGTGAAATTGTGCACATAAAGAACATTTGTAAGTGCAGTTACAAAAAATTATGTTCTACGTAATCCATACTCTTTAAAAAGACGTACTCTATTGCAATCTAACCTAATCTGTTCTACTCTAATCTATTCTCAAAAACCTATATTTAAAATAACTAACGAAAGCAAATGAATCATTTTTGTGTTAGATATATATATTGTGCGCCAGGTGTCTGACGTCACTATGACGTGTCTGGCTTTCCTCTGTGGACCTTTTTGGACAATACTGACACGTGCTCACTCAATCATTTATTGGAACACGCAACTCACGTGTTATAAAACCCAAAAATAAGATGTATATATTTGTAATGAATATAAATAAATATTTTTAAGTTATTATGATAGTCATAAGTATACATTTACAAAAGTTTTAAGTGAGCGCGCTTCATACTGAACGGAAATTCTGGGTTTTGACTGTCCGCGCCTCTCATATCCTCTTCTCGGCGTGTTGATGACAAGGTGAGCACGCGCGGGGCAAGTGGCTCAAGGATTCTAGTATTTTTTGGCAATATTGTACCTCAAACATTCACCATTTTCGTGTTTAGAACTAGCAATGAGGCGTGGTTGCATGCGGCGAGGGTTGTGAGGGTGGGTGACGAGGGGCGAGTGTGGCAGCGGGGAGTGACAACATGCTGGCAACATGGCACCAGTTGGCTTATCTTACAGCTCACTTTTCCTATAGATAGACTGTGTTCGCAAACCTGACGTTGTAATCGTGAAAGTATATGTATTATTTAAACGGAAAATTGGTCGCTTATTTTGACTGGAGCGTGTACAGGGGGTTAGTATAGGAGGCTCCGCGTGGAGGCTGTTATCCAGTAGTCTATAAGCTACGTGTGTTTCATATGGTAAGGCATATTTAGGTATATTGGGTAGGTGACTCGTGACCATGGGTAGGGTGTGGGGGGGACATTACAAGCAGGTGGAGCATAAGGGCCATTGTTACAGGTTGCTTTACCGTGAGGTTATCTTGAGATGATTTCGGGGCTTGCTGTTCTCGCTGCCCGGTCGTCGACCAGGCCTCTTGGTTGCTGGACTCGTCAAGTAGGCTGTTGGACACGGCTGCCTGACATTCACAGCCTGGTTGATCAGGTACTTTTTGGAGGTGCTTGTCAAGTTCTCTTTTGAACACTGAGGGGTCGGCCATTTATGCCCTTAATATGTAGTAAAGCGTGTTGAACCGTCTGGAGCCTGTTCATCCAGGACGTGTAATACCATACGAGGGCTCTGTCTCATATGGGAGGAGAGAGGACCTGTAAGGCCTGACAGAAAAGCACCAAGCATCGTGTATGGAGCATCCTGGGGGGAGAATAAGACCAATGAGTTACCATCTTTATTATACCCATTGGGTTCTGGTTGTATTACCGAGTAGCATTAAAACGGCTTGATAATTAAATAATAAACTTGGTAGATATTTGGGTGGAAGGGATTGAATTTAAATACATTCTCAGTATGGGCTAACAGGCCTGCTGCCGTGCTTCCTAATTATTTTGGTAAAAAACTGCAAAAGGAATATTGGCTTGAGTAGCTCGTATTTATACCCAACAAAATTTGCATATATCTAAGCTATGCTTAAAACTTCAATTCTATTATACTGTAATTTGTTTAATGAAGCTACAATCCTATTCCCAAACTAGTATTTACAGACTGTGCTTTCTTTGTTCATTGCAGCAATATTCAATCATTTGTCATTTTGAGAAATTTATATGTATGGAACATTTCAATCTTCCATACATATATTGGTGACAAATATTTGTCATTAATATGTTCACAATATTAAATTCTTTGAACAATTCAAAGATAATTCAGGTTTGGGCAGCAATATTTGCAAATTTGCCCAATCGTATTTGCAAATATGAAAATCAGGAGGGGAGATAAACATGGAAAAAGACTCGGTCACTTCAAGACGATCTAAATAGGGGTTTGAAATGGTCAAAAGATTGGCAGCTGCAGTTTAATGGTGACAAATGTAAGGTTTTGATGTTAGGTAATGATAGTTACAAGATACGAGCTAGATGGTGTTGAGATTGTAAAGTCTGATTGCAAGAGAGATTTAAGAGTTATGATTAGTAAGAATTTAAAAACAAAAAATCAATGCATAAATGTTCTTAATAAGGCAAATAGGACACTGGGATTTTTTCCCCCGTTATTTATTTCCTCAAAGCGTTGGTAATAAAACAGCTGGTGTTATTCTTCAGCTGTATCTTGATCTTATTAGGGCCCCATTTAGATTATGCAGTTCAGTTTTAGTTGCCATGTTCCTATGTTCAATAAAACATGCAGTTTTTGCAGTTATTACACTATACACATTATATATAGCTAATTTTATGCACCAGTGCTAACCATGTAAGCTGTTTTGTGGGCATGATAATCTCATAATCGGTGATCGTTCAATCTAGCCTCGCATATTTTGCACAAAGTTGAAACGGCATGCATTGAATATACAGTATTATATTTTCATATTTTTAATGTCTTATAATTTTTTTCAAGTGCAGTGATGCATTTTGGTGTCAATATTAATATCACAAAATACTGCATGTAGAATACTGTGTTTTTGTTAGGAGTGCTATAACTCTATGCCTCCAATCTCATTTTTAACCCATAAATTGCGCATATTGGGGATCTGGAATCGAAAATATTCAGATTATGTAAAAATAATGTGAAAATGTTAAACAAATCTCCAACTTATTGGCTTCAGCGTCGTGAAACTTTCATCAAAATATTTTTAGAAATTTATTTTAGATGAATTTTTAAAAAAGAATGTTTTGTTAATAAGAACAGCTCCTATTAACTGGAACTGAAGGATAATGCAGTAATAGAGATGCATGCACCTGTACAACGCGCAAAGAAGAATAGTAGCAAGAAGTGTCCACAAAGTGGATATGCAGTTGGTGCCTTTATATCATTGCCGAGTAATACATAATAACAAATAATGAGTAACTATATTATTATGCTCTATTTTGTTATATATCAAATAAATACACTGTCCAATGTTAATGTTACTTTTGTCAATGTCCCAAAAATATTTTTTTAGGGGAATTTTTTAAGATTTGTTTTTTCTCCTTTGTATTTATCTGATTTTGTTGTAACCTTCACATCTTGGAGAATGCACATGTTTCCCTAACTATGTGAAGATAGAATGAAATGGGTCAACAAATAAATCAGTCACAACTTGCAGAACTTGGGACTTTTTTTTTTTTTTTTTTTTTTTGGCTGATTTTTTTTCTCTGGTTTCAAACTCTATTTTCTTTGTCTCTTTAGGTTGTTTTGATGATTAGGGACCATATTAGGGCTTTTTCACTTACATGAAGTACACCATAAATATATCCCCTAAATTATTATAATTATCCATATAGTGTTTTTTTTCTTGACTTCATTTCAACACATTGACCTACAACTTTCACACATTCGAGTACCAATGCCAAACAATGTTTATTAAAATATACAATTAAATTAACAAATTAAAACTACCTTTATTCATTGTTGATAACTTCAACTTCAATTATTTCTGAAACTAGAGTTTCAACTTCTAAAAGTGGCTTCTAAAATTCCAGTTTTTGACCGATTCTCACTATTTTGGCATTGTGTGCTAAGCTGTCTGTTCTACAATCCCTTCAGAATGGATTTTTCATAAACTTTATACATTTGGCTATAATTTTTTGTTCTAAATTTGCTGCACATTTCAAATGCCTTATTAGTGTTTTTTTACAATAACCTATACAGTACTAATAACCTATGTTCTAATTTGATGAAAATGAAGATCATATGCTATTCTGAGAGAATAACAACATTAAATGATCAGTTGGTGATAGTTCATATTTTTTATTTTGAATTGAAAATCTGAAGTTTTCAATATTCAATTTTAAAATTTTAATTCTCTTCTTTTTCAAATTACATTGTGACCATTTAGACAAAGTTGGAGCATTTGCCTAGTTGATTATGCAAAAAAATTGGAACGAGTTATGCAAGTTTTAAAAACTTATTTTAAATTATGTCAAATATATGTATGTACTGTATTGTGTGGTTTAAGGGTTAATGATTATCACAGAGGCACAAAATTACAAGAAATAAGTTGGATCCTTGGTAAAGCCATTAATTCTATGGTTTGTTTTAAATTTGAGTTTGCTAGGTTTTTGTTCTCAGGTGTGGCTCTGTTACCTTTTGAAAATGCAATATGACGCTGGAGATAGGAAATGAGCTAGATTTGGATTGGGGGGGGGAAGACTTGTTCGTTTAATAGTTATTATAGGTTGAAATTAAAATTTTGCTAAGTGGAAATTAGCCCATAGGGCATGGGAAATGCATCTTGGAGGCATCTCCAGGCTGTATTTTCGGTTGCCACATTAATGGAGCGCCGCCCTGCTCCTTATTGTCCGAATTGCGTTGTCCCTCTTACATTTGTGCATATCCTTGTTGAATGACCTGACTTCCAGGACGAGCGTGTCTTGCTTTCCGATCATCCCCCGCAGTCACTTGTCCCTCGATAGAATTCTAGGTGAATCGGATACTTTTGATATTGTTCGCCTTATGGGTTTTTGTTCTCGTATTGGCATTCTTGGTGATATTTAGCGCCCTCTGATTATTTCGTACTTTAATGGTGCTACATAGCCTTCCCGGTTTGGTGCCTTCTTTTGATAATTACCTTACCTTCGGTTGCCACAAATCCCTCACTGCAGCAAATTGCTGTTGTTCCTATGTAGAGTAGTTCGTTAAATCAAAGATGTACGGTATCTTCGAATAGGATATTTGGCCATTTTGCCTGTTTATCCAACCAAGTTTGTAATCAAACATGTCCTGATGTAGGGAAAACTACAGTACAGTACTTTGGTTGCAAGTTACGTTTTGCAATGCTATACCTTTTATTGCATTTTTTCCAATGATTGATCTGTTTTTATTTCTTGAATTGAAGTAAAATTACTAACTGTACAACAACAATCAAGATGATTTGGTAATTTATGAATACTGTACAAAAAAATCTACAAAGCAGCTGCTTCGCTTACATAATTTGTCATCTTAACCAAAAATTTACTTTTTTCATTACAGTCCCTAAGTCCGTTTGATCGGTGCCTTAATCCACGGTTTCAAGATGGTTAGGGTGGACAAATCAACATGGAAGGCTAATTACTTCACCAAGATCACTCAGCTTTTTGATGATTACAACCGTTGCTTCATTGTTGGAGCTGACAATGTGGGCTCAAAGCAGATGCAAGAGATCCGAATGGCTTTGCGTGGCTGCGCTGTTGTTCTCATGGGGAAGAACACCATGATGCGCAAAGCTATTCGAGGTCACCTTGAGACCATTCCAAATCTGGAGAGGCAAGTTTAAATTATAAATGGTTTAGATTTATATTTACAGTAACCTACTATATATGCTGACATTTTGAATATAATTAATTTCATGTGCACTAGAAATGTTCACCTAGTTTCTTGTTGTATGTTTAGAGCTTTAATAGCTACTTCACTACATAAATGGCTGTGTATATATGTATGTATAAGTCTTATTAACATTGAAATGCCATTACAGGTATTGAAGTTAATTTAATATATTAAAGAAAAATCTGAATAAAGTGGGTGTACAGTTATTTTGAAAGTTACGGTTATAAACGTTAATTTCCTGAAGACCTTACTGTTTATATGGTAAATTATAGAAATTAAAGTTTGACTTACAACTCGGTTCACTTTTAAAGCTTCATGGGCTATAGACACTATACAACCACATCTTACAACATGAAAGGATAGACATATGACCACAAACCCACTGCCAGAGGAACAAAACTGTTATAATTAATATATTAATTAGATTAAAGAGTAAGATCTGGTAAGATGACTTAAGGTATGGCAACTCCTATGGTGATCAGTAAACTAGAGGAAATGATACTTGTGCTTAGTCCACCTCATGAATCATGGCGACCACCCGGGAACATCTTGGTAATAACTACTACTGCCGGCAAATGTTTAATTTGAGAGGTACACAACTGTTATAAACACTCGATTTAATCACTGAATTAGGAATATTGAATGGACTATTACTTAGAATAATAATGGGGTTTATATATGCCTATAACTAGCCTAGCAACTCCCTACCTCCAACTATCTGTATACAGGCCCATATATATACAGTGGAAAACAAAGATGCATGGCATAGGTCAGATCAAGGCTGGTAGATATGGACTGCTAACTGCCAAAACTTCAAGGGCCTAGAATAGGTCATCTTATGTTGTCTGCCAGAAGAGTTGAAGAATGGCGCACAGCCCGCCCTCCCTCTCTCGTCCAGTATTTGTGGATCAATGTAAAGTTTTATTATTAAATCAGGAGTGACATTTAAATTATTACTGATCGTAAGGTCAATTTTTTATTAATTTGATAAACTTTCCAAGTATTAACTCATTTCTTCAACATACTTTGAATTAATAATGAGAACTAACAAGATAAATTTAGCAGCTTGATCATCTCATTAAAGAAAGATGAATCGGGCAGGATATATTGAATTAAAACTACTATGCATTTTTATTAAGTTATTATTTCTGCACAGGATGATTCCTCATAGTTTATTATTAAATGTAATTGCTATTTATGCTTGTTTATATGTGGAGAAATATTTCCGACAACCTCTGCATTGCTTCAAATTATTTTCGCATTGATATATCATGCCATTGTGAATTCTTTGTTCTGAAGGAGTGTATGGTGGAGAACACTGTTAACTCACAGGCCAAGGTGTAGGTGGTTTATATGTAAAAATATGGTTGTGGCACCAGTTGGAGCATTCACTCCCCCATAGGGTTTGGTAGTTCTGGTTTGAATAGCTTTTGTCTTATCTGGCCGAGTGCATTAAAGCAAGCATCTAAGTCACTTTAATACTGGTTGAAATCCCCACATTGCTCCAAATTATTTTCTCATTCAAACTGATGTTGAGGATTTGTGAAACTTCATTTTTGGTAGAAAAATTAATGTCAAAATTTATTGTTTTTCATTATTTTTTAGATTGTCTTAAAATTTTGATAAAATTTGTAATAACATACACCAAACTGCAAGTTTTACATTTTGTTTTGAGAATATTCCGAGTTTTTTTGTAACAAAACTATTTTATTATGAAACATAATTTAATATTTCCCTTTTAAAGACTGTACTGTATTATGTATTGGAAATATTAACACATTCTTACCTGGCAGGCTGCTTCCTCATATTGTGAACAATGTGGGATTCGTGTTCACCAATGAAGACCTTGCTGAGGTGCGTGACAAGCTGTTGGCCAACAAGAAGAAGGCTCCTGCTCGTGCTGGAGCTATTGCTCCATGTCAAGTAACACTTCCTGCTCAGAACACTGGGCTTGGTCCTGAGAAGACTAGTTTCTTCCAGGCTCTGCAGATCCCCACCAAGATTTCCAGGGGTACTATTGAAATTGTTGTAAGTATTTGTAAAAATCAAATTTTAGATGTAAGCAACATTGTTGAAAAGCCTTATCCTAAGTTAATTAAGGTATGGCAAACATGTCCAAATGTCTGTGCATACTGTGATGCAGTAGGCTTTCAACTGTCCATCTGATCTTTATTGCTCAAAAGAAGTTGGTGCCTGGCTGTCAAATGTACCGAATGTGTTAAGCCTACCCCTGTTCTCCGGGATTGTACCTGGAGGGGGTTCTGGGAGTTTTCTATTCCCTAAGCTTTGCCTGGGGCCAGGCTTGATTTCAGAGCTTGGTCCAACAGGCAGTTGCTTGCAGTGGCCCCACATCCACTACAATCTATTTGGTCAGACACTAATTGAAGCGAGTAGCATGACATAACATTGCCCTCCTCTCTCCTTACTCTCTCACTCCCATTCCTGCCTTCTGTGTTGTCACTGAATTATTTTGCACTGCCATTGATATGTGATCCGAATCAAGATGTGCTATCATTCTTTAGGCAATCATGACAAAGTATGGTGGGTTGCTCTGTACTAAAGAGTGTCTTAATTTGTTTTAATGAGTGAAATGAGTTGTTTCCTTTAGTAATAGTACAGAACAGTGGAACTTCGGTTTTAGACTGCCCTGGATTTAGAGTTTTTCGGTATACGAAGTCAATTTCCTCATAAAATTTGACTCGGTTTACCTCGGTAGACGAGTTTGTTGATACATGTATGGGACATTGAGCACGTGGGTTCTGCTGGGCACGGGGCGAGGCACGCTCGGTTTACCAGTGTATCCAGTCTAGCTTGAATTCTTTGTGAAGAATTTCATTGTTTTTGTTTTTTTGGTTTCTGAACATAAAAGTTCTTATGTATCACGCCATGGGTCGCAAGAAAGTCGGTTGTTATCTAAGAAAATAGTCAAGGATGACGATAGGGGATGTGATTGTCGCTACAGACAAGTATTAAAACGTAGGGAAAAACAAAGTGTCTATAGACAGATTCTTATTAAGATGAGCAAGCAGTGAGCCACAACTAGGTCCTAGTGGTATGCCTGTAAAACATAGGTGAGAGAGAGTACGCCAGAAATATCATTGGCTGATGTTATAATGGTTATATAAAGGGACTTCCCTTCCAAACATTAACACCTCCCCCCCCCCTCCCTCCTCATCGGTCTTATATACACCAACGAGAGTCCTCAATAAAGGTAAGGTATTGAACAAATATTCTGTATAAAATCTATTTTTAAGTTACAATTTTTGGGTGTGGAATGGATGAACTAAATTTACATTATTTCTTGGCGGAAAATTTGTTTCGGTTTGCAAACCGTCTCCTGGAACGAATTAAATTCTTAAACCAAGGGTCCACTGTACAGTATTATTATTTATTAAAGCTGCATAAACATAAACAAATCCACAAGGGCTGTGATGAGGATTCGAACTTAGGTCCAGGATGATCACAGACGCGCCTTAGTCTCATTGTGCCACGACATGGTAAAATTGCAACCCGAAGTGCTACTGCTCTCGCATGGATCCTGCAGCCTCTCCTAGACACAAACTGGGGTTTTACACAATTCCCCCCATGCAATAAATTGTAAACCGGGGGTTTGTGTAAAACCCTGGTTTGTCTCGGAGAGGCTGCGGGATCCGTGTGAGAGCAGTAGCACTCCCGATTGTAATTCATTTACCATGTCATGGCGCAATGAGACTAAGGCGCTTCTACGATCATCCTGGACATAAGTTCAAACCCTCATCACGGCCCTTATGGATTTGTTCATTTGATGTATCACGCTATTGTGATTTCTGTGTATAAATAAAATTTTCAATTAATTGGCACTGATTAGTCCCATATAAGTTGAAGCATCCATATCAAAGTCAGCAAGTGAGTTATGTGCTCCTCTTGTGTTAATGATATGGTAGATAAATGCTTCATAAAGCTGTCTGTGGTGCCTGCTGTTTTAGCAGTCTTGCAGTTGATGCTTTTGTAGCTAGTTCCCATGAGTTGGCACCTTGGTTCCTCTAAGGTGTCTTAGTTCGGGGACGTACAAATGTAGGCATGCATGATGCTAGTTACTTGGGTTAAGAAAGTAGATTTTTTCCTTGGTACCCTTTATATACCAAGTTCACAAGTTGAGCCTGGCCTCGGGGAGTAGAACAACTCTCGGAACCCCATCAAGAAGGTATCAAGCAGGTAAGCAATACTGCAGCCCATAGCTATGCAAGTAATTTATTTACATAATACACATTTTTGTTGATTTGTATAGATTGAGCTTCACATAAACCTACAAATTTAGCATACTTTTCACTATTGCAAACAGGGCACCTGACAGCTGGGTGGACAGTGCTTCGGATTCGTAGTCCTGAGGTTCCGGGTTCGATCCCTGGTGGAGGTGGAGACAAATGGCAAAATGTTTTTCACCCTGATGCCCCTGTTACCTAGCAGTAAATAGGTACTGGTACCTGGGAGTTACAGCTGCTATGGGCTGCTTCCTGGGGGGGTGGGGGTGTAACAAAAAGGAGGCCTGGTAGAGGACCGGGCCGCAGGGACGCTAAGCCCCGAAATCATCTCAAGATAACCTCAAGATATGTTCAAGTAATTTTGAAAAATTAAGCTGTTTTGACTAGCTGGGGGCACTACGACTAGTCATGTAGGACTTATCATTGTGTCCCCCATTATTTAATGGGGGGACACTTAACTGGAGGCTTGAGGAAGCAGATGTGAGCCCCATGTACCCATAGGAGTTTTTAAATTTTCCCAACAGATAATTGGCGAGATCCCCAGCTGTGTTGAGCAGATAAGAACCAAGTTTTTAAGAGAGATTGTTTACAGGTAGTACTTCTGAACAGGCTGTGTTTAGTGTACTTAAATATTATTTAACATTTGCATTTTAAGGGGTAAGACTTCTTATTTTGTGTGAATTACCCACTGCAGCCACTAGCCGAGCAATAAATCAAAATTTTGTTCCCGGTAATCGTTCACTGTTAACTTTCGCTTGGCGACTACTCGGCATTGAGTCGTTCATTTAATAGAGGGAAGTCCAGTAACGACTCGGCATTGAGTCGTCCATTAAAAACTGTGCCCAGCATTCACACTTTGCTGTGGGAAGGGTGTGCCGTGGTTTTTGGACCTTATATGCCTTATATATAAAGTTGAAAAGAGTACTGTATACACATTTTATTGTGCTTTATTAGCGCTCACGGAGGTAACACGATGTCACTTTCTTTGTTTGCTGTGGGTGGTATGCTGGGCTTTTGGAGTTTATATGCATTTAGTCTTGTAGAGAATTCAATTGCGAACACATTGATACCAAAATTAAAGACCTATGACGAGAATTGAGGTGACCAAAGTGAAAAGGGTGTACACATTTCATTGCTCTTGCGCGCTCCCGGGTAACTCACTCTCACTTTGTTGCGGATGGTACGCCAGGCTTTTGGTCTTTATATACCTTTAGTCCTGTAGAGAATTCTATTGCGAACACAATAATACCAAATTGGAAAACCTTGGACGAGAATTGAGGTAACAGTTGAAAAGAGTATATACTTTTCAGAATTACCGCGCACTCCCGCGGAATGCCCAAACCTACCTGGGATAATGCAGCACTCGCGCGCCCAGAGCATCAAAGTGTTACGGAACCAATTTATATTAGATCATTGGGTTTGGTTTCAAATTGTATGGATGTTACTATTTTAGAGTATATACAAAACTAAAATGGAAAACCATACCAGGTATACAAGGTGCTGTTGAATTTTTAAATACTGTGTTCATAAATCTGCATGGTGAGGAATTTTTTTGTGGATACAGTATTTGCAAAGTGAAATGTACGTGCAGCTTTTCCAGAACCACCAACTGAATGCAGTGCATTGTGTGTGCAAGTTGTAAATTTATGCTAAATTTGTTTGCAAACCTATTTATAAGACTGTACATAAATTTTAGCTCTTTCCAGCCTCACCATATGTGATGTGAAGAGGCAGGGGCCAGATTCACAGAAGCATTTATGCAAGCACTTACGAACCTGTACAACTTTTCTCAATCTTTGGCGGCTTTGTTTACAATTATTAAACAGTTAATGAGCTCCGAAGCACCAGGAGGCTGTTTATAACAATAACAGTTGAATGGGAAGCTTTCATGCTTGTAAACTGTTTAATAAACGTAACCAAATCCGTCAAAGATTGAGGAAAGATGTTCACGTTCGTAAGTGCTTTTGTGAATCTGGCCCCTGGCCCCTGAAGTCCAGCCTCTCAAAATATTTTGAGCTCACCAAGTGGCTCGTGAGCTACTAAGTTATGTGAAAAGTTTGCAATCACCTTGTTTTATGAGTTAATGGTTAAGAAGTATAAATTCTAACCCAAAAAATATGTACAGTATCCATTCATACACAAGGTTTGTATGAAAACAAGTTACCTTAATACCTTTCACCTTTCAGAATGATATTCAGCTGATGAAGGAAGGAGACAAGGTGGGTGCCAGTGAGGCCACTCTTCTCAACATGTTGAATGTGTCTCCCTTCACCTATGGTCTGATTGTGGAGCAGGTGTATGACCAAGGCACTGTCTTCTCTCCAAAAGTGTTGGATATCACTGATGAAGATCTTAACAAGACATTCCAGGAGGTAAGATTTGACATACATGATTGAGCAGCCCAACTTGAGCATTCCCAACCTCTTTGAACTGCCGTATTAAAAGTGCCCGAGGTGGAGAGGGAACCAACTATATTGGTGCTGGTAGAGCAAATAAGGTGCATTTAAATTGATGAAAATAATGCCATTGTAAATTTAAGTTTGTGATGCAAGTGGTGGTGATGTACTAGTGATTTTGTTGGAAACATTAGTGTTTGTGATAGTATGAATGAGCCAGTTTGTTGACATGGAATGTGTGGGGAATTATCACATCTTTTACTAGGTATATATATATGTTTGGAACAATGCAGCAGTCCCACGTCTGTTATGTTGCCTGGTAATTTATTCCATTAATTAACTAATTTGCCCATGTCTTTCCTGAATCTAAACTAATCCAATTATATAGTGTGTGTGCTCTTTTGGTGATATTTAAAAAAGATCTTTGAATCCTTGATCAGCCTTTTATCCATGTATATATTGGAATCTTGTCAACCCTTAATCTTGGTCTCTTGGAGAATGTGAATTAACTTTTCAAAAACTTTTCTAAGGGAGGTTTTTAATTCCTGAGCAGTTACAAGGTCAAGATAAATCTAAATAATAATTGATATCGTATTGCTAATACTTCTAGAGAGAAATCTTGTTACTCTATTTCATTCCTTAGTTATGTGTGGAGTTTGACTTGAAGATCCCTACTAATCATATAAATACTTCATCTTCCAGCTGTCACTTGTCATTTGCCACCACTGAACCCACTCTCAAGCCATCAGCTTTACCTAGCACAGTCAAACTACAACACATGAATATTTTTTATATTTATGATGAGTTCCTCTGATTGCTACACTAAATTGTTTACTAAATATTTATTTTTTCCTCTTTACTGACTTTTTTGTAAATCATAATGCAGCACTACTCATTATACTCTTGTACTCCTTTTACTCAACTTTACAATCTCCCATAATCATTGCCCCCTGCTGTTCCTATTACAACATTGTTCATAGCCTGAGACATGTAGACCGTTGCTTCCAATGATAGATTTCTGTCCAAACATAGTTGTGTATGATCATTTCATTCATGTATACAATGAATTATTAAGTAGCAGATAAAAGCAATTTTGTAATACATCTGTAAATTTTATCTGCAGGGTCTGAGTAGGGTAGCTGCTTTGTCACTTTCCATTGGCTATCCAACAATTGTGTCTGTGCCACACTCCTTTGTGAATGGCTTCAGGCGTCTGCTGGCACTAGCAGCTGTCACCAACATCACTTTCAAGGAAGCAGAAACTGTGAAGGAGTTCTTGGCAGTAAGTTTACATAAGTTTTTCATTTTGTGCAAATTAATGCTAGACATTAAAATAACTGAAAGAAAGAATGCTATATTTTTTATTTTACTCAAGATTTATAATGGAAATATGAAGTGTGATTGTTTTTCCATATTTTAAATTTAATATGAAACAAAAAAAATCAGTAGTGGACATCATAGATTGTCATGGATGGTATTTATAAAGTTCTGTTAAGTGCTGTGAAAAGTTTATATGTAGGAAGTAGTGAATATTTAATGAAGTAATGAGTTAAACTTGGTTATGATATTTATGTAGGAGTACCAAAAGGAATGAAAAATTACTCCTATATTCAATCTGCTCATTCTTGAGATGTCACACTGGACAATATGGTGTTCTAAAACCCCTAAACCTAATCTAACCTAAGTGGTCAACCCACACATACAAAACGTGAATGGGGAACTATATGGAAATAGTGCCGAGCTATTCCCTGGAAACACAGAAACCGTGTCTATTTTCCGCTTGTTACAACTTGGCGTAACGTGTTTATGACGTATTAGAACGTTGTTACAACTTGCTATATTGGTTGTTATAACTGGTTAGGAAGTGTTAAAACTTGATCGAACGTTGTACCAACGTCGTAGTTTCGGTGTGTTTGGCGGGTTTTGACTGTAGCACTTCCTGCTATCCCATAAGATGGGATAGCAGGAAGGAATGGTGCCCAACCACTTGGACAGTTAGAGCTTGAACGCCGACCTGCATGAAGCGAGACGGTCACTACCGTCCAACTCAAATAATTGGACATTCAAAATGTGATTGAATCATTGAAGGGTAATAGCACCCTTATTTAGAAAGGAATAAACTGCACGATTGTAAAGAATACCTAGGAGTGGATTAAAGTGAATTTAGGGTAGGAAAGGCAGACAGGGAAGATGAGTGGATGTAGCAAGTGTGAGGATGCAGGGATTGTGTAAATAACACATGGGACAAGACTGGGTTGAAGCCATTTGTAAAGGGATTTTTTTTCTTGGGGCCCACCCCCCACCCCAAGTAAGAAATTTTTCTATAATGTTTTAAGCCTATTTTTAAAGTTAGCAACTATAGTAGTATTAACATTTACCCATATCTATCCTTAAATATTTGTAAATTATCTCTCTGCAGGACCCAAGTAAATTTGCTGCTGCCGCTGCTTCTGCTGCACCTGCTGCTGCTGCAGCAGCAGTTGAGGCCCCTAAAGCTGCTGCTAAAGTAGAGGTTGAGGAGGAGGAAGAGTCCGACGAAGACTTTGGAATGGGTCTCTTTGACTAAATCTCTTCGACTAGGCGCCATTTATGGAGCTGGTCACGAATAAAAAGAAAGAAAATATAATTTTTTTTCTTGCATCCTCTAAAGAATATGTAAAAACATTGACTTAACTGCAGCTCACAGGGAAGTGTGAATTCTGGGTTCGATTTGTGTCCAACCTCAGTTGGATTCCAAGTCAGTGTGATCAGTAATGGTCCCCATGAACAATTTTGTTATTCATTGGTCACAATTCATTTTTGCAGAACAGGGATTGCATAATAATGGCTCCATTGGAGATTTATCTAGGTGACTTTAATAAATTAAAAGTGCTGTTCCAGGTAATTGTGCCACTATATATTTAAAGAATTAGGGCTATATATATCTAATAATTCAAAACTAACAAAATATTTTGATCCTTAACAAATAGTCGCCTCGATATGCTGCCTTAGTTACTTATCTATAATTAGTTATAAGGCGGGTACAACTCTACAGTGCTGAGCACCGGCAATTAATTGTCAAGCGGTGTGAATGCATGCTGCTTTTATGTACAAATTTGAGTAGTTTATAACTGAAGTTCTTGTGACATCCACAACAGCAGTTTTGAGTGCAGTAATGAATTGTGGTTATCCCATCATTGATTGGATTCTAATAAGTTTTTCTTTAATCCCTGTTTGAGATACGACCCGGCTAGTGTGTGTTATGGGTTGCATATACTGTAGCCACGAACTGGGTAATGTTCGCAACTTTGATATTTTGTATTCGTCCATTGTTCCCTAGACAACTGATGTCATGGTTCTTTGTTCATCAGAGGTAAATTTGGTCAGGTCTACATCGGCACCTATTGCAAACTTCCTAGGGAATCCTATGATATAAATAATAGTACACTACAGACCTATATCAATAGTCTTCCGCTATAGGTAAAAAAATAATGTTATTTGATTCAAATTTGATAAATACACCCCAAAAGGATAATTTAGTATATTTCTACCCTCATATTACATAGGTCCTTCAAGCTCAAATCTATACAGTATAAAAATTAATTATATTTTACATAATTTCATTAATTCACATAGGACATAATGCAAAATGAATTAATTTGTATACATACAGCTTGTGAGAGCCTTGGTCTTGTAATCAACGTCGTTGCTAAAACAGGTATTGGTAATGGCAAAAATGGTCCACGGAAACTTTAGGTAACGGACCAGTTGACTGTCTTCTTTCAAATACTTTGGTGTGTGTGTCCCTTGTACCTGCAAGCAATAAGTTACATCAACAATGTAGAGACTAGGCTCTCAAAACTGTAGTGGGGTACATCCCTAAATACGCTGTTAATATTAGAAAAGCAAAAATGATGTACTTAGCATATATATAAGGTCTCTGATAGACTTATGCACCCGCTTTAGTCCTACAAAATGAAAGTATAGATCGACGAAAAAAAACAAAATGAAGCACTTAGATTTATACATTGCTGTCTTATAACTACCAAAGTTCTCAATATGCGGAAAGTTAAATATACCAAGCATTCAATATAGAATGTTTGAAGTCAATCTTATGATGGGACTGAAGTTTCTGCGTGATATAAGCAACATTGTGTCAGTTGAACTGTTAGAACACATACGTAATGGAACCAGGGAGTTTAAATAGATTCAAAGAACAGCCACTCTTAAAATAATGGGACTATGCACGAAGTATGTACAGGTGACAAAAACCACTTCCTTCCATCCTGGCAGATAGTACCTTTTGACATCCTGACCCCTGCATCTTGAAACTTGATCACAAACAACCCTCGTCTTCAGCTTGCTGCTAAATTAAGCACCATAGAACATATTCACAATATACAAACTAAAAGCAACAGTATACACTGACGGATCACTCAATACAGCTACAGGGAGGGCAGGAAGTGCTGTTATTGCTCATACAGTCCGATGGCAACAATTAAAAGGAATATAAGAGTTAGTAACTGAGCGTCCATAATGCAAGCTGAATTTGTAGCACTAGAAATTATTAACAACACTGAACTAGACAGCTTAATTATTTCTGACTCCCTTTCCTCACTACTAGTAATAAACAGTTTGCAATCAAGTAATAACGTGCTTGTCTCCCAAGCCAGACATAGATATATAAGCATACTTAAAAGGGGGTAAATATCAAAATGTGGATTCCTTCTCACATTGGCCTGCAGGAATGTCGTAAAGTTGTCGCCCTTGCCAAGACTGCAGTAAATAAAGACAGTCTTTATTTACTTGAGTTATCAGATAGGTCCCTTAAAAGTGTCATTAGACGAGAACTCTGATGAATTTGAAGAAAACAGAACAGTGCAAACTGGAACCAGTAGGTCCATTATTTATCACAATGAAATGTGTCAAGGAAAACATGTGTATGTGGCAAGTAACAAAGTCAGTAGACTAACAAATGTTGTCACAGCTCGTATAAGACTTGGCTACAAGTATCTCTGGCAGTTCGGCTTGTATAGGGATCTAGATGAAGTAAAGTGTGTGGACAAAGACAGGGACACACTCGAACACTATATCTTGGATTGTAGTCAAATTGAGCCATTTAGAGATAAATCTAAACTCATGTTGTATGAAATGGCAAACCATCGCATTACTAAGGATAAAATACCTGAAATCCTGGCACTATTCATATTTCGTTTCAAGTAGATAAACGACATATGAGATTAAGAAACAAGTAGTGTATTGTGAAGATTAATAATAACAAACAGCAGCTCCCCTATGACTGTAATATCTCCATTGCTTAAACAAATATGTATTAGCGATAAGACCTACCATTAATGTATAATGACTTATTGTAACTATATAGCTCTTGAAATGTAACCCTTGTAAACTCGTGTAATGTAATTCTCTGTAACTAGCTGACATTGCAGGCGATGAGTCACAATAACGTGGCTGAAGTATGTTGACCAGACCACAGACCACACACTAGAAGTTGAAGGGACGACGATGTTTCGGTCCGTCCTGGACCATTCTCAAGTCGATTGAGAATACAATAGCTGACATTGTAATTTTAAGGTGTGAAGGATAGATGAAATTGTTAATGTAATAATCTCCGTTGAGATCTGATAACAACTTTTTTTTGTAATCTCTGTAATCGTCCTGTGAGCTATCGCTCACAGGATGAGTATGGGGTGCACCATAAACAAGTCGTCTCTGGCGGCAACAATCAAATATATTACAAGAACCTTCAAGTCCAGGAGTTCCACCACAATGTGCAACCCGTTCTCGCACTTGCTTTAGTCAATATTGGCTTATTTAATAAGTGCATATGTGACATACTAATTGATTGTGAATATTTTAGTTTACCTTGAAAAGCTTCATAGAAAACACCGACCTCACCTAACCTTCTTAGTATGTTAAGATAAGCATCTTATTGCTTCTTATTTACAATTATTACTTAACCTATCAACGGTATAGGTTAAGTATCAACGGTATAGGTTAAGTATAGCATCTTATTGCTTCTTATTTACAATTATTACTTAACCTATCAACGGTATAGGTTAAGTATCAACGGTATAGGTTAAGTAATAATTGTAATTAAGAAGCAATAAGATGCTTATCTTAACATACTAAGAAGGTTAGGTGAGGTCGGTGTTTTCTATGAAGCTTTTCAAGGTAAACTAAAATATTCACAATCAATTAGTATGTCACATAGGCACTTATTAAATAAGCCAATATTGACTATAAGCAAGTGCGAGAAAGGGTTGCAATGTTCCTACTCTTGAGATCACTTGTTTTCCCACATTGAGTACTGCTCGCTACTATTTTGTTTCTCTCTAAACAGATTTCTGAAATAGAATTAACAAAATATACGGCAAAGTATAGTTACAGGGTAAGCCACTAAAAATTTACTCTTAAGGAAAGGAGAAGAAATGAGAAAAAGAAGTTGTCACGTAATATATATTGGAGCGAAAGATATGGTAGGAAATATAAGATAGACTCAGTGAGGAATAGTGGTGGATTGACGGTCTCGGCAACATGGCGACGGCTGGGAGACGTGCAGTGTCTCTCTCTCACTGGAAACTACACTACCGCTGAGAAATCAAACTAACCACCGTCACGTGGCACGCATTCGGATAATGTTGGCCTTCCGCCCTGTGAGGAGGGTAAAGAAGGCGCCTTCCTGGACAGCAAACATCACAGTAAAGCAAGTAGATCAGAAGCGAGACACCGTGTGGAGGTAAACAAGAGACCATCCTGCCCAACAGTACCATCAGCCATTGCCCAACTAAGGTAGGACATATTCTATAAATTACTTCAAGTGTGACAGCTTTGAGAAGAGCAAGATTCTCATTACCTTTCTTGGTGACGGGGGTGTATAATACTTGAATGGTAAAGCACAGATAAAGTCATATCAGTGATTGGTAGATTGCATTTAAAAGCAATGTTCAGTTTGATGTGATTCTCGGCATTTTACTGAACCATTTATTATATAAGGAGTGAGTTTATATGTTGGCACTTAATAGTGCTGAGAATATTATCACAGCGTGTGCTTTTAAGCGGGATATGTCAAACCAAAAGCCTCGTATATAACTGCTAGACACGGGTTGGAGAATTTCGAATAGGGAAAATACTGTTTTCACAAAACCTGTACAGAAGCAGCCATTAGCAACTCCGTACACATTCAATAATGGCAGTAATGTAATTTCTCCGTGTTTTGGCACAATATAGTAGTTTCAAAACAAATTAATAATAAGACTAAAGCCGCCATTTCGCCGAAGCCGGCAATTTAAGTTGAGGATGAGCCTGTGGCTCGCGAAATTTAACAATTCGGTCAACTGTTTAGCAGATGTTAAGTATGCAGCCCGTCCTTTCAAGTGTTCCCAACGTCACTAAACAGATGTACAAAATTGCTCGATCCTAACCTGACTGAACTGCCCGTCCACTGTCATTAATCTCGTGGCGCAGTTTTTCTTTCACCTAATGCACCTGTTCACATAATAGTAAATAGGTACTCGGGAGTTGTAGGTTGTAACCTGGGCAAGGCCATTTGGCCTAGGGGGACCTCGTAAAGTCTAAGTTCTTTTGATCCCGACTGGAAAACCATGTATATATTACGTTAGTAAA